TAAGCTATAAGGCAAGTGGTTAGACCACAATGAGCTAGAGGTGTGACCGTGCCTTCCATTCCAATCTCTTGAATGAAAGTTAATAGTGATCAATTACCCGAGTCACAAGCAAAGCCTTTTGAATCTATTGCCATACATAAATCCAAAGGAAACCCTGGGTTCTTATAACACACAAGAGGAATATCACTGAGTAAAAAGGTCCTGAATACGTTTCCGGGAAAATCAGGTCATTTATCGCGCATATCATAAAACCGACAAGTTATTTGTTACCTTTGGTTTGGGGTTTCCTCCTAACTGGCAGTGAAAAACTGCATCTTGACCTTCGTGCACCTGAACGAATCCCAGGGGTCTGAGAAACACTGGGACGGCTTGAGTGCCATCCGCCACACCTTGTCTCGCTTCGCCGACTTGTGTTTCAGACAGCCATTGCTGAAATTCATTTAGTAAAGTGACTATAGGTCCAAACGGGCGAAATCCGCTCACCTGCTCTCGCTGTCCGTCAGTGGTAGTTCCCTGGTCGGTGGCAGAAAAGCGCTGTTCCAGGAAACGCTGCGTTTGCGGCGTGTAAAACGTACCCTTTTGCTTTCTAGGTTGCAAAACGGCTGAGTCCAACTCCTGCATCATACTCCGTTTCTTCTCGGAAGTAATTTTCGTCTGTTCATCCTTTATCCACCGTTCATACTGATCTTTGTGCAGTACCTCAGCGACCGTTTTCGCCACTCCGTGCTGGTTTTCAGCCACACAAGAGTATTCGCCTACATCTTCTGCGAACATGGTCGATATGGTCAGCAAGCAGATACCGCTCTCTACATCGTTTTCTATCTTATACCTGAACATTGGGAACAATTAATGAGGATTCATTAAACTGTGGGAAATGTTTTTATAATAACATTAACATAAACAGTTCACAGGGCCAGTTTAATTGCATGAATGTATGCATGCTATTATGATACAATAATAGGCGTGTCTGGCTTCGGTGTCTGTAAAATTGAAAAGATCTGCTGTCTAGCGACAGATGTTGTATGAGAATGCAAAGCAGTCAGTCAGACGAACGATTACGAATTACAATAATCATCGCTCGTTGTCCAATCAAGTGAAAAGGTCAACCGGGTCAATGAATTTGTCTCAGCACTGATTGGCTATCTCGTTTCGCCCAAGGTAAGGTAATCTGATTCTTAGTTGAAATAACCCCACTGAGCGTAATTTCGCCTTTCGAGTCTCAGTGGTAAAATATCAGTCATCACCACTGGTTTGCTATTTGAGGTAAGTTTGCAACAAAATCCGCCGGAGACCGAAATCAAAATTTCGGTTATCGAACTATCGCCTAGCTGAACAAACGTATGGACGTATGAAAGAAAAAAATAAATGAAAGAACTAACTAATTGACGGATGCATAAATTAGCAATCAACGACGTCAACAGTGTTAACAACGAATATATTTTGCAACATAACAGAGAACGAAAGCCAACGAATGTTTATCCAATATTTATTATACTGTTTATACGGAATGAGAGATTTTAGATCACATCCTATATCAAACCTTCAAGAAAGGGTTGTGAAGTGTTTCCATGATAGATCTCTTCCTTGACTGTAGCTGACCGAAACATGGTGGCTCAGAATAGATGATACAAGCAAAGGGGGGTGAAAATAACACCACTGTGATATGCATTTCTTGAGATAAATCTGTGCCCAATGATGTCACTTTAACAATGATGTCACTCTCTTGCGAAATTTGGAATGAAACTTTTCATGTGCGACTAAATTATCTATTACATTAAAATACTAGATAAACGGTTTCTTAAACGTAACTCCAGGTAAGAGAAAGGCAAACTTCCATCCAAAGTTCCGATCAATATCTCATCATTAGATCTTGGAGAGGGTAGGCAACGAGTAACTTTCCACAGCATCAGTTGCTGGACCACTAACTTACAAATCACGTACTTGGTCTATCTGCAATATGGCAACACGTACGAACAAACTGTTTAACTAAGTTTCTACGTCTAATTAATATTATATAAAGCAACAAAAACAAATCTTCCAACAGCGATTTGTGAATGGGATGGGTCGGAAGTTAACATGATAACGATGTAAAGACGAGGAATATGAATTCAGCCTGAAAGGCACACAATGCTGTAATATAATCTTCCTAAACTGAGCATTTCAAACGACCAAATGTCATAATATGAGATCCTCAGCTGGTCAAATTTTGCTAGCCTAAGAAAATAATAACAAAAACAACAACGAGTAATATAAATTTGTTCAAACAAACAATAAATAATAATTAAATCAACAGCAGTATTGATAATCAAGACGGAAATACATTATGTATAATCTAAGTGATTGTCAGTTTTCTTTCCACGACACCGACGAA